GCCAGTTATGGTAATCAGATATTCTGTCAACTACACACGCCTGGCTAGGTAAGCAGTTCAACCTGTCAATACAGTGGTAGCTTGGTGACACCTCCTTGGGGGCCTGTTGTAGAAGAGCAAGATTGAAGAGAGAGGAGGGCTCTCGACCACTTTGCCTTCCTCCTTGCTGGGACTTCACTGAGACTCTCTGTCTGTCTCTGGGTGTGACCCCCTGTGGGATGCCCGATCCTGAGAGCTGTCAGTGGCCTGCTATTCTTCCACCAACCTTGGATGCACAAGGCTCTGCACTCACCAGCCTGTGATCTCCCTGCTCCCCACTTGACTTTACAGCAGCATCAGCCTCCAGCGACGTGAGTCTGAAGAGGACCCCAGCTAGCATCGGACCTATGGACTCGAGTTGGAAAGGGCTGGGCCCTCTCCTGATGTAAAAGTGCTTCTTGATAGAGAGTTCTTTCTGGTACCTAGATGAGTGTCCCTGGCTTGTTTCTCGAGCCTAACACACATCATCCTGGTATTTCCTATGCCCTCGTTAGGTAAGCAGTATAGATATTCTTGCCTTTATTTCATAGAACTGGTGAAGGACTGAAAAACAGTACCAGCAATGGTTAAAGTCACACAGCTAGCAAGAGGTCCAGGTCCAGCCCTAGATTCCAGCTAGATAGCTAGATAGTTCTAGATCGATAGACGGTTCTAGATCGATAGACGGTTCTACATAGATAGACGGTTCTAGATCGATAGCCGGTTCTACATAGATAGACGGTTCTAGATCGATAGACGGTTCCCTCTTGCACAGACCCAAACACTCCACAGGTCTCAAACGTCACCCCACTGGACTTTCCATCATACAGGTGAGGGAACTGAGGACCATTCGGTGAACGCGTTTTCTCCACTTCCGTGAGGAAATGCAGCTCCAGGAGGCTGGCTTCGCTTGTGGCAACCAAAACGACTGAGTTGGTTTCTGGGTAGTAACTAGGAGGACAGGTCTTTCTACTGCAGAGAAAGAACCATCCCTTTCACTAAACAGAATTAAAATGTTCCTACTGTTTCATAACTATTGGGAACAACCATTGATTAGCATAATTCTATATTTGTAAGTGGAAATATTTTTCGATCCATAGGTAAGTTTCCAAAGTGAAAAAAGTTTAGCAAAGAAGGAGCGCTGTCTGAGGAGGTGGCCTGCCAGGCAGGGAGGTCCCACAGCTGGCAGAGCTCTTTAGAACATGCTCTGCGTGGATGGCAGTCTTCATCAGCAAGAGAACAAACATACTTTTTAATTTTTTTTAGAACAACCCCCCAAAGTGGCAGGCTAGCCCCCAGAATCTGTCGGCATAAGAGAGCTAATATTTTCAGACAAGTGCATCGTTCAGATGACATATTATATGAAAACTTTGTTCCTTTTGCACCAGAAATGACATGGCTTGGGAAATGGCTTGTTGAGAAATGTGTGTTTACATTAGGGAGTGGAGGGGGAAAAAATCCCTTGCAGAAGTTGAAAAGATGTTTTAAGTGGTAAATACCCAAATGCCCAGCAAGCACATCAGCAGACTCTCCTCCTAGCATGAAGATGTGCAGTCAGCAGTTTAGCATTTACTTTCAGCTTCTCTAGCAGTTCGAGTTAACCCTTTCCTGTACCCTCATTCCCTTTGTGAAAGTCCAATCCTTAACCTACAAAGGGTGGGGGGTTGTCATAATCATTTGTTATGCATGACCTGATAATTTCCTCCACATATGTGGGTCCCCACAAGTGGCCCACCTTGTAAACAAATGCCCTTTTAAATGCCCTTAATGTCCATGAGGCGCAGGATGATGCCCGGACCTGGGTTCAAAAGCAAGCCCAGCTTGCTGTAGGTAGACATGGAATTGCAAAAGAGAGAGGCCAAAACAATACAATAAAGAAAAACAACAAAAATAAAACAGATCAGTACCCCAAACTTCAATAATAAAGTCAGACCCAGACCAGTGGTTCTCTGAGGAGTACGGACTTCATAACCAGAGAGCAGTACGAAATTGCCCAAGGAGCCGGGTAAACATGGCTTTACTTACAAGTTCACAGTTTTTTCACCACATCAAAGATTCTACTTCTGTCTCCTAGCCGCACAGCACCAGCCTATAGAGTCAGCCTCTTTTCCAATGTACACTTCCTGACAGAGACAGAGTACACCCAAATCAAGGTAAGTATGGGCTTCATGTAAAGCTCCTCGGATGATCCTAATGGATGCCCCTCCTGGAAAGACACGGATCTAGGTTCTCTAAAGAGCCAGTTACATTCGGTGCAGTGGTTACTTGGGCTGCCAACCGAAAGGTCCGCCGTTTGAACTCACAGGCCACTCCCCCGAAGAAAGATATTGCAGGCTGCTTCTGTGAAGACTGACCAACCGTATGGGCAATTCTACGCAGCCCTACAGTGTCTCCATGAGTCAGAATTGACCAGAGAGCAATGGGTTTGGTTTGTGGGTCTCAAACAACCCTGTGGGGTAGCTCCCTAGTCTTCCTCATAGTAAAGATGAAGAAAATAAGTCTCAGAAATATGAAGACTTGCTCAAGCCACTCGAATAGTACAGTGGCTGTGGGACTGACAAAGGGACCAACTTAACCATCATCTTATTATTATAGGTAAGAAGATGTAAAATATTTCCTAAAGATTTTTTACAATGTCCAAATATCATTCTTTACTCATAAAAGCTCAGTATCTCACTTGTCATAGAATATTGTTTTCTTTTTTATTATGTCTAAATACACACACACAAACACACTCCGTGCCTTTAGGAATAGAAAGATACAATGTTATCTATTGGTCCTATGTTTGACTCTAAGAAAACAATGTTGGAAATGGAGAAAAAAAAAGAAAAGAATTTTAAGATACTCCATGCTTAAAACATTAGTTTTCAGGAACATCTGAATCTTGTATTTTGATTTCCTTTTACACAACAATAAAATGAACTTACAAATCCATTTCTCCATTCATCCCAATATGAGAAGGGATGGGCAGTGTGGGGCTTGATAATGCCCCAATGCTGTCAGCATTCCTGGCATCACTGCGTTAGTCTTTTTGCTACTTAACAGAGATTTGAGGTGCTTCCTGTAAGCAGTCAGTATCTCAATTGCCATCAGGTATTTGGTCCCAGAGGGGAGCGGAAATCAATGTCAAAATCTTAAAGAGATGCTCTAGTGCATGGTATTGGTCCTATGAATGCTGGTGCTGGTGCAGGTAAACTCAAGGCGTACTGCCTAACACCATTCCTAAACACTTTGGCTTCGACAGAAGTATCTGAAGAAAAAGAATAAAATAAGAGTCAAGAGATTAAAATGCAGGTAACTGAGCAATAAATAACCCCCCCCAAGAATATCAATACTAAAATTAGACCAGCTAGTTTTGTAATTGAGCAAGGGTTACTTAAAACCAAATGGAACTCTCTGCCCTTAAGTCGATTCCAACTCATGGAAACCCTGTAGGGCAGGGCAGAACTGTCCGTGCCGTTTCCAAGACCATGGCTCTTTAAGGGAGTGGAAAACCTCTTCATTCTCCCAGGGAGCAGCAGGTGGTTTGGAAGTGCTGACCTTGGGATAGCAGCCCCACGTGCAACCCAGAGTTACCTCGAACCTAGGAAAATGCTCCTAAATGACTGAGTAGGGCACTGTTTGAAGAACTGAAAAACAAGGCAAGGTTCAGCCCTGCATCGCAGCGATGAAGTCAAATTTAACATGTGGGGTGGCCAGCAGGTACAGATCATTGAAACCCCAAACATTCAATCTAGGCTTTCTTTCCTACCTTGTCAATCAGCATTCCACTGATCCTGAGACATGGCTTCAGCGTAACTCAGAGGTAGGTTCAGCCCAACAACTGGTCCTACAATGCTGAGCCATGAAGTGATGTAGTTGAAATTCCTAGGAAACAAGTGAAAATACAAGTGCGATGATGTATCCGTTGTCATTTTGGTAAATGGTAGAAAATCAATCACTCCCCATAAATAATAGGAATGAGGCCTTATTTCAAGGATGCACCACTTGAAATCGCAGCATTTTGAAATGTCTGAGGTCGAGAGAAACTATGAAAAACCTTCGCTAAAGCAGTGCAGGGGGTGGCAAAGTGTTGGGGCTGCTGAATCTCCTGGGATGAATCACATTTCACACTTACATTTGACAGTATTTGCCAAAGGAGCGAAACACAGTGGGTAAGAGCATGGTTCTGAAGCAAAAATGCCAAATTTCACATCCCATTTCCACCACTTAACTAGCTAGGTGACCTTGGCCAAGTCATTTGACCCCTCAGCGCTTCAGTATCTTCCTTTGTAAACTGAGGGCAATCGTGGAACCACGCTTACAAGGGTTACACGGAAAATCAGATGAGCCTATATATCTACAACACTTAGATCAATGCCTAGTGCACAGTAAAAAAAATCAATAAATGCTAGCCATCATTATTATTACAAAGAATATTTCTTTTGAGCGTGGCTTTTAGAGTCACATAAAAAGATTTATGCTTTTAAAATAAGAATATAAACCAATGTGTCTTGATGGTGTTTCTTACCTATTGATTTTTTGAGAATTCTTTAATACAGGAATCATGAATTCATTTGTCTTGCAGGGATGAAGTACAAAAAAAGGCTGCCCAAGTAGTGGATGTTCCTGAAAGAAAAGTTAATGTAGCAGAGCAAGTGTGATTTACATTGAAAAAGTTAAAACAAATAATGCTTTATTCCTTTAAAATAAAGGTTTATTTTAAATTCCAAGCTACTAAATAAGAAACAGGTTGCTATTTCATTTTTAAATACATAATCCAAATGTCAGAAGAGCTGGTGAGAAGGTACTGTTTATCAATAAGATAGTATAATCAAGTACGGGTAAGCACCCAATTTTCTTTTCATGATGCAAACTGCAGGTCCATGTTCTCAGTTCCTATCACCCTTTTTAAATCACCATTTCTCTCAGGCCTACAATTATTCTTTTATTTCTTCCTCACGGATGTCCACAGAGCCCAATAGCCTGACCACCTGAACAATGCATTTCATTCACCTTTTGGCCAAATGTGAGGGGACCATGGCTGTGTGCACATTTTTTAAACATAAATTTTGTCCACATTCACGGTTTCAAGCCCAACTACAGTTGAGAGTAGAATGGGGGATGAAATGGCTTGCACTATTTAAATTGCAGTCTGTCTGTCTGTGTTTGTTTCTCTTTGCGTCTTTGTCATGCTGTAGGACTTAGCTCCTAAGATTGAAGCCCATACGCTGTAACTCCACTGCCTTTATAAGAGCATGGCTGGGTATAAGGTAGGGGCCAGACTACGGTCAAGTTAGGACTGTGGACCTTATTTGATAAGTGTTGGGGAATCCTGGTGGCATAGTGGTTATGCAATGGGATGCTAACCATATGGTCAGCAGTTAAATTCACCAGCCACTCAGGGGGAGAAAGAGGAGGCTTTCTACTCCCCTAAAAAGTTACCGTTTCAAAACCCCACAGGAGCAGATCTACCCTGTCCTGTAGGGTCAATATATGTGAGTATAGGGTCAATGTGAATTGGTATAGCTCAATGGTATTTTTGAGTTTTGAGGAACCTTAGGAAGTGTCTCTGCAGGTAAGTGATCTGTGCACCCATTTTGGCAACATGAAAACAATTATGGATGATACCCGTCTGGATCATTTACATTGCCAATTAACCACTATGCCACAGGCTGCACTCAAATAATCCAGAGACCAGGTCTCAACGCTCACTGCCACAGAGTCCATGCCGACTCACCGTGACCCTATAGGGTGGAGTGAAACCGCCCCCGTGGGTTTCTGAGTTGCGGGGATAGAAAGTCTCATCTTTCTTCCAAGGTGCAGCTGGTGTTTTTTGCACTGCTGACCTTCCAGTTAGTAGTCCAAAGCATAGACAACTACACCATCAGGGCTCCTTAAAGTTGTCAGGGATTTAATTCTACTTGGATCCCACAATCAATGCCCAGGGATAGAGCAGCCAAGAAATCAAACCGTAAGTATAGTTCTTTGGGTAAATTGACTGCCAAAGACCTCTTAAAAGGGTTATAAAACAAAGAGGTTATTTTTGAGAACTACTAAGGTATTCCTGACCTTAGCCATAGGATTTTCAATAGCCTCCTATGCATGTAAAGATTGAAAATGAAGAAGAAAGACCACAGAGGCGTGGGTATTATGGGCTAGTTTGATTAGGGGCTGCCTCACTTCTCTTCTCAGCTAGTCCAAGGAGAGGCTTGTAATAGACATCAATCAAAATTGGCTTGTGTATTCACCCTGTCTACCTTTTCATAGCAAGCTGGGGCCCATGATTTCAAAAAGGCCCACTGGAATGAACATAAATTTATATACATCTATCATTTAAAAAATATCCTAAATGTCAATTTTTTAGCAAAACAGAATCTGCTTACTTTATAACCTCATGAAAGAGCGCCCAACATCTGCTAGGCCTAGATAAGAGAAAATGCTACAGTTATAAGGACCCCAAGGTGCTGCTTACCAGAAAAAGAGGAAGGGCTTCAAGGAAGTGGACTGACAGAATGGCCACAAGAACAGGCTCAAACATGGGAATGATTTCGAGGTTGACGTACCAAGCACTGTTCTGTTCTGTCGTGCAGACTCTAGTCCTTAGGAGAAGAACACCTTATAGCCACCACCCGAGCACCAGGAAATGATCTAGACTTCCCATAGTTTGTGACGATCCACGCAGTCAAATACCGTCGCATAATCAATAAAGCACAAGTAAGCATCTCTCTGGTATTTCCTGTTCTCAGCCAAGATCCATCTAACTTCAGCAATGACATCTCTCGTTCCACATCTTCTTCTGAATCTGGCTTAAATGTCTGGCACCTCCCTGTTGATGTGTTGCTATAACATATTGAAGGGTCTCCAGCCAGATTTTCCTTGCATGTGGCTCTTGTTCGATAATGGCCACCTTCTGTTAAGTCACTCAGTAAAGCCAGGTAGCTGTGTTCCAAATTTCATAGCATTGCTGAGTATTTCCACAGCTTCATCAGCTTCTTAAAACATTTCCATTGGTAGCCCAATTCCTGGAGCTTCGGTTTTGGCTAATGCTTCCAGTCTCCTTCAATACCCTTGGTTCCTGATCATAGGCGCCCACTGGAAGAGGTTGAATGTCCACCAGTTCTTATGGTACACTGGCTCTGTGTTTTCTGCCCATCCTCTTTTGATGCCTCCTGCATCCCTCATTATTTTACCCAACATTGCAACTTGAGGGTCGAATTTCTTCTTCGGTTCTTTCAGCTTGAGGTATGTTGAACATGCTCTTCCTTCTTGGTTTTCTAAGTCCAGGTTTTTGCGTATTTCTTTATAGTTCTGTTTTGCCTTCCCGAGCTGCCTTTTGAAGCTTTCTTTTACGTCATCATCTCTTCCTTTTCTTTAGCCACAGTACTATATTTAAAAGTGTACGCTGAAATCCACTTTGGTATTTTCTTCCTTTCCTTTTTAACGACCATTTGCTTCCTTCGTGTTTTATCTTCTTAATGACATCCTATAACTCATCTGGTCTTTGGTTTGGCTGATGGTATTGAGCTTCTCTATCATCAATTGGAGGCAGCCAATTGGATTCCGATGCCTCCCATATGATCAGGTCCAGGAGTACAGTCACTGGTGATGTTGTTGAAAAAGGTATTTGTAATGAAGACGTCGTTGGTCTTAGAAAATTCTGTCAGACGATCTCCAGCTTCATTTCTATCACCAAGGCCATTTGTTCAACTACTGATCCTTCTTGTTTGTTCCAACTTTTGCATCTCAATCACCAGTGATTATCGACTCCTTTTAATTGATGTTTTATCTATTTCAAATGGAAGAAAACTGTGTGTGGGGGGGTACCTTTGGGTTGGTTCTGACTCATAGTGATCATATGGGCAACAGAAGGAAATACTGCGTGGTCCTGGGCTAGCCTCACAATTGTTCATGTTTGAGCCCATTGTTAGAGCCACCATGTCAATCTCTTGTTGAGAGCCTTCCTTGTTCTCATTTACCCACTACTTTACCAAACATGATGTCCTGTATTAGGGACTTTTCTCTATTGACAACACGTCCAAAGTACAAGAGACGAAGTCTCACCATCCTTGCTTCTAAGGAGACGTTTGCCTGTGTTTCCTCCAAGACGGATTGGTTTTTTCTTTCAGCAATTCATAATACTTTCCATATCATTCACCAGCACCATAATCCAAATGCATTGATTCTTCATCAGTCTTCCTTACTCAATGGCTAGTTTTCACATACATAGAAGGCAATGGAAAATACCATGGCTTAGGTCAGTCCTCAACATAACCTCCTTGCTTTTAATACTCTAAAGAGATCTTGTACAGCAGCTTTTCCTAATGCAACTAGTCTTTTGATCTCTTGACTGATGCTTCCAAGAGCATTGAGTGTGGACCCACGCAAGACAAAATTTTTGACTACTTCAATCTTTCCCCCATTTATTATGATGCTACCTATTTGTCTAGTTGGGAAGATTTTGGTCTCTTTTACATTGAGTTGTAATCCATACTGATCAAAGGCTACATTCTTTGGTATCCATCAGCAAGTGCCTCACATCCTCCTCACTTTCAGCAAGCAAGATGATATCCTCCGAACATGCAAATTGTTAATAAGCCTTCCTCCAATCCTGGTATCACGTTCTTCTTCATATAATCCAGCTTCTCTCATGATTTGGAAAACATACACATTGAATAAATATGGTGAGAGGACATAACCCTGACCCATCCCTTTTCTGGTTTAAACCATGCACTATTCCCTTTTTCTGTTTTCACAACTGCCTCTTGTTCCATGGGCAAGTTCAGCATGAGCACAATGAAGTATTCTGAAATTCCCAATTTTCTCCAAGCTATAGCTTGTTATGATCCACACAGTCAGATTCTTTTATATGGTCAATAAAACACAAGTAAATATTTTTTCTGGTGTTCTGTACTTCCAGCCACGATCCCTCTGACATCAGCATTGCTATCCCTTGTCCCACGTCCTCCTCTGAATGCAGCTGAACCTCTGGGAGCCCCCTGTCAACGCACTCCTGCACCTGTTGTTGGATGATCTCCAGCAACATTTTACTTGTGTGTGATATGAATGCAATTGTTCTAAAATGTGCACATTTTGTTGGGTCAGTGTTTTTTGGAATAGGTATAAAGATGGAGATCTTCCAGTCAGTTGCCAAAGTTTCTTAGCATAGATGAGTACTTCGTGATAAATCTTTAAATATTCATTTTGAAGATGAAGGGGATGTACTTTGTCATTCCCAGAAAAGTACACTATATAATTCTCTGAACTCAAAATGCCCAATACCCGTCCATTTCTGCTCACAACTGCCTAGAATATCTACCTTTGTGCTCCATTTCATTTCTGATAACTTCCCATTTTCCCAGATTCATACTTCAGATATCCCATGTTCTGTTTTTCAATGGATGTTTGCAGCTGTTTCTTTTCATTTTGAATCATTGCTACCAGCAAACGAAGGTCTTGAAAGTTTTATGTCATTAGGTCAGCGAGGATACAGCTCTCTTCTCCTTTGAGGAGGCAGCTCTCCTCCAGTTGTATTTTCACTGCATCCCACCCGAGAGGCTCATCTTCTGAACTCTGTCTGACACTGCTCTCCTGCAATTCATAAGGTTTTCAGTGGCGAGTTTGTCCTA